TTAATTTTTATAAAATATCGTTCAAAAATATATCAGTTAGGTATGCCGATATGCTCAGTTGAACTTTCTGAGCGAGTATATACAACAATATTTATGAATATGTTAATTATATTTAATTAATGGCACGAAGGGAATACAGGTAAAAATAAAAGTCGCCAATTTGTTGCTCTATTATGGACATTATTATAATTATTCTATATATATTATATGTATATGTATTTGCTGATGTATATGATCATTTATATTTGATTTCATATATATTCATATTTTCATATGCAATAGCCCGTTGTATATTTTGATAACAAATCAATCCTATACGATTATAATCAATTATATAGCAAGACATTATCTACTTTGTATAAATGAGCTCCATTTAGAAAAATCAAATCAAATGTATAGAGTAGCTGCTCAGCTCAGATATCAGCTTATAGAAATAAACATACCGATCATACCAATCATAACTATATACATATGCATATACTATATAGCTCAATTGTCATAGCTCTTCGCTAATATTCTCAAGCAGAACTTGTTTTGATCTCAGTGATAAACAATCTGGATGATCGTAGGGACACACAAAGAGTTAGATAGAGAGACAGAGAGTGAGCGAGAGATAATTTTGTGATAAGCACAAACATCTCTACCCCTCTCTCTCTCTCTCTCTCTCTCGCTCTGCCAGTGTTAAAGCGCTTCAAGGTTAGAAAATGCCGGCTGGATAGCGCTTAATAGATTATCAGCATGACACGACTATTTCGTAACGCCAAGCATAACGTACGTAGATATGGACGTACACATATTGTATATATTGTATATGTATTATTATGAGAGGCACGCAGCCAGACACTTGGACTCTTGGGGCCTATAAAAACGAGGCGGCTGGAGACTTTGGGGTTCAGTCGAAGCGCAAAAAGCTCAGCGGCGTCACGTCATAAGTAAATAAATATTTGCGATATCAACATGAATCGTTGGGTGAATCGTGTGGCCGTCATAACTGGCGCCAGTTCGGGCATTGGAGCCGCCAGCGTCAAAGATCTGGTGGCCAAGGGCATGATCGTGGTGGCGCTCGCTCGTCGCGAGAATCGCTTGCAGGAGCTGAAGGCCCAGCTGCCGGAGGATCAGGCCAAGCGCTTCTACTATCGCGTCTGTGACATCGCCGTGGAGCAGCAGGTGATCGAGACGTTCGCCTGGATCGACCAGGAGCTGGGCGGCGCCGATGTCCTGGTGAACAATGCGGGCATTGTGCGCAACAACGTGTTCCTCGTGGACGCCGACAACGGCAAAGCGCTGCGCGAGATCCTCGACACGAACGTGCTGGGCGTCAGCTGGTGCACACGCGAGGCCTTCCAGTCGATGCAGCGGCGCAAGGTCGACGACGGACACATCGTGATCGTGAACAGCATTGCCGGCCACCATGTGCCCATTGTGCCGCACGTCAGCATGAACATGTATCCGTCGTCAAAGTATGCGATCACCGCCATGACCGAGGTCCTGCGCCAAGAGTTCCTCGCCAAGGGCTCCAAGACAAAGATCACGGTGAGTGCCAATTGGAGTAGCCAGAAAAAATGGAACTATCGATAGTTTGCTAATGTCTTCCTCATCCTACCCCTATAGAGCATCAGTCCCGGCGCCGTCGACACTGAAATCATCGACAGGGACAGACTGACCGGACTCGGTAACTTCCCCATGCTGCGCTCGCAGGATGTGGCCGATGCAATCACCTACTGCATCCAGACACCTCCGCATGTCCAGATACACGAATTGACGATCAAGCCAATTGGCGAGACATTCTAGAGATGCTCAACTGGCCGCTGCCCATGGATACTTTGTATCTCTCCAACTTTAGTCATATTTATTTCCACGCCTTCTTTTTTTTTTTTTTTTTATTCACAATAAAATGTTTTACTTCTTGACACAACAGCAGGACATTTGCATTGCTTATTATATATTACAGGGTATGCACGTAGGGTATATAAACAAATACAGAATGGAAGGTGATTGTCAAATGTTGCTCTCTTTCTCTCTCCCAGTGACTCTCTCTTTCGAGCACTACTTGATCTGTAGCTCAGTCTACCGCTCTCTCTCTCTCTCTCTCTCTCTCTTTCGTCTCTCTATCTGTCTGCTATTATCATTTCATATAAACGGTCTACTCATTTTTGATTAGTTGTATAAACAATATAAATAGATTCTATCTATACATAGTGAACTCAATGATGGATTGATTGATTCCTAGCGCTTCATTAGAACAACAACCATCTAGCATGACGATAATTTCAATTGTTTATCTTTGCCTACGTATGTACATGTAAACAGTTACATACAAAAGCGATTATAATGACTCCTCCTATCCTATCTTCATCTTAGCTTTGTATACCCTAAGTCCATTGAAGTCGTAAGCTTGGATATACTGATTTTGTGAAAATGCTTGTCACCAGAGAATGTTGCGGAAGAATTCCTATATATAGCATATTTATTCTTGATCCGAGAGACAAGCTAAGCTCAATTATAGACTTAGCATGAATAGAGATTTTACTGTATATTAGTATTAGTAGATATTTAGGTATTTTATAGAGATCTTTAGGATAACATACAAATTTATCATATAATGTATAATATATGCTATATTTGTATAGTCGTAATCGACTAAGTACATTACATTATACAGAAACGTTTTCCAGTAATACTTTAGATGATCGGCAAATATTGAACTCACAGTGAGTAATATAAATTTTACGATTGATCGCTTCATTGAAATTAATCCCTAATAACAGTTTTAATGTCTAGAACAACAATTTTTCGAGCATGACCGAATTTGGCCAAAAACTTGACTTTTAATCAAGGTAAACAAACTACAACAATGCGAGAGACAGAGATAGAGTTAGATAGGAGAATACTGATTGTTTTGATATAGTCCAACAGCTCCTTCTCTTTCTTTCTCTCACGAACTGATAACGAGTGTTCGAGTAATGTTAATATCAGCATGAGGAACTAGAATCTTATCATATTTAATATTCTTACTACTTGAACATTACGGGAGAGATAATGGAGACGATTAGTTATGGGACACCTGAGCAGGTGCGTAAAACAAAGTAGCTAATAAAGCGAAGAGAATTCGAATTCTTTTAACGAATCGAATGGAGAGCTTATCATAACAATGAACTATCTGGCATAGCTAAAGAACTCTCTTTCATTCTTAGTCTCGAGATCTTACTCTCGATCATTTTACCAGTACTTCTCTTTCTTTCCTTCTTTCACTCTCCCTCACTCGCTGAAGGAGGCTCTCTTTCTCTTTCTCTCTCTCTCTTTATAAGTTTCAGAAATCTTAGTCAAATACACAGCTTACATTTATCAAACCATCCGAAAATTCCATTAATTATAGTATAGCTTAATGTAATATCTATAATCTGTAAATATATCTTGTTTATATGATTCAAAGTGACTTACCATTAAATGTAAAATAAATATACAGCTACTAAGTCTAAGGTCCCACAGCCGTGTAGGACCTTTTTGTGGGCTCCACATGCTGGAGATGTGGACGCTGCGGCTATATCTGCGAATAATAAGAAGAAGAATCGTAAGTATGTATTTAAACTGAAGACAAATATATATATGAAAATGTCATGGGAGTGGACCTAGACTCAAGTTTTTGGGTAGCAGCTGAGCACAGTGATGCAAAATGATTGTAAATGCTATGAAATTCAAGTGAAATTATGAGATATGAGAGCATATAAATGAAATTAGGAGAGAATCTTATACATAGATATATACTCCACTATATATTGTCTATATTCAATTGACTGCAAATAGCCTTAGTGTTAAGCATTTAGTGTTATCTTTAGTGATGTTACCTATAGGGAGTTGCGAATAATCGCCGTTGAGATTACGGATGAAGTCGTCAAACTGACCAACCTCAAGGCAAATAAACTAAGGCGAAATAAACATTTTACAGTCGACGCAATGGGAACTGCATATATGTATATGTATGTGTGTATGTAGCTCTTTTAGGGCTCATAAACATTTAAATGGGTGTGAGGTTTAAGTAAACAAGTGGTAATTAGTAATCGCCTAGTTGGCAAATGGACAGCATTTAAGCTTAATCATGAATGGATATGAAATGGGTAAAAATAGGTGGAAATAGGTCAATGGGTCAGCGGTGATTGAGCTAGTTTGACAAGGAACGAGCAATAGATTTCTATGAGCCTATTATTAGTATATCAGAATATATTCATATATGTATGTATGTATTATTATTTATCAGCATGCATAAGTCTAGTGTACTATTGCCTACTATCGTATAACTCTYTCTCTCTTTGTCTGGTTTTTTATGCATTCTGCCCCACTGTGCTTGCAACCGCCGATTAGCTGACAGCTGAGGCGAGATCTGGCGTGAGTGGGTGGCATAGCGAATGCGGCTAATGAAAATAAATTGCCCAATTGCGAAAATCGCGCTGGGAGAGCTTGACGAATGCGAATGCGAATCCGAGTGCCAAGTGCGAAATGCATTTCGCCTGTCGCTCACGCTTGGTCTAGTTTTTTTCTTTGCAGCTGGTGACCCACAAAGGAGCTAAATTATTGAGCAAGCAACTCCATAGTTTGTATACCTATCGATAGATTCGAGTGATTGTAAATATTAGAAGTTATCGGAAAGTTGTGTAAGATAGATGGGAAGCTGCATATAGAGACGGCTAGGCTAGAATTGCTATGATCGCTGTTGTTCAAGGCTATCAGATATAAACTAATGAGCTATCGATAACTATCGATTAGTATTGATTTCAATGGTAAATGTAATGGGAAGTTCAGTTTTACTTAAAAGATTATCAAGTATTATAATCATTAATCAGACCATTATGAGGGGTAATCCATAAAGAAAATTGTTCTATCGATAGCTATAGATCATTATCAAATATAAGCAACTATACAGATATGCACCTAAGGCTTTATGGCTTTAATCAGCATTAAGCGTCAATTGGCTTGAGGAGCTTAACGCATTCCTCCGCGAAAACAGAATAAATTTTTCCCATCCACAAAGTCCGATTCAGGTTCAGTTTGCATTTAACCTGAGCAGCCACAAGCCATAATTGAAATTAAGTAAACGACAAGTTGCTTGAAGCCCGACGAATTGCGGCTTCCCTTCACTGGGGCCAGGGGCCAAAGCCCCATTGTTTGCTGCCGAAAAAAAAACGGAAACAAAAACAAAATCTGTGCCGCAATTTATGTTAACGCCCCAACAGCCAAAGCAATTTGCTTTATGATATTACGAGGCTATAATTTAAAGCTACTCAAATTTAATAAATGAAAAATATATACATAAATTTTAGAGTGAAAAAAACTTAAAAATTAGAGAGATTGTGTTGAGAAAGACAAAGAGAGGGAAAGCGCAAGAGAGTAAGAAAGAGAAAGAGAGGGAGGAAGATAGAGATAATATATGGAGTGGGTAAATTCACTTTTATGACAATAAATTGAAAGCCAATCAAGTTAACACTAAAGATTTAACAAAAAGACTCGAGTTTGGCTTCATTTATGCGAAATTTCGATATCGTCAATGCTTTACGAAGTATTGTCTTTATCGGATACAATTATGCTCTCTAATATATCCAATACTATATTAATATATAATGTGAATTGTGCTTATTGAGAAATTTTGAAAGCAGCTCAATTGATCTCATGCTCAGGGCGAACAATCGATTCGATTCAATTCTTCTATCAATGCATCAATGCATCGATTGTTAGCGATATATGTATATATTTGTTACATAAATTCCATAAGATCGAAAACGATATCAAACTTATGTTTAAAATATTGCGAATTTTTAGTTTTGGCGGATTTTGTTTAGCCGATTTTCAGTGTGTATATCATATATACTTATACATATATATGTATATATCTATACCAAATTCTCTATATCAAGCCAAGTATTATTTTTAACTACAGAAAATTGGAAATGTTGGGTATCATTTAGTCGTGCACTCCCCATTAAAACTCTTCAAGTTAACTCAACTTTGACTATGCCCAAGTCTAATGAGATTTATCAATGTCAAATGCAAGTCTGTTGTTAGCTGTAAAAATTTGCTGGCCAAAATTGTTAGTTGGGGCTAACAAACTCCACAAATTTCATAGAGCATGACAACAACAACAGCAATGATAATAATAATAACAACAACAACAACTTATTCAAATAAAAATTTGTTCAATTTCACAAAGAAATTTTGTGGAGAGTTCTCAAAATAATTTTGATTAAGCCAAGTCAAAAGCAGCTTTTCGCACTTTCACTGCAATTTTGTTGAAAGACAATTCGCCGACATTTTGGCTATATGAATCATGGTAACAATCAGCCGGCCAAGTCAAGCAGTCAATCAATCAGTCAATCAGGTGAGCGAGTGAGTGAGTGACTCAAATGGACCAGCCCACAATCATAATAAAAGCAAAGCGAAACAGATGAGGAGGAGATGAAAGAAGAAGAAGAAGAAGCCGTTTGTTTTTCTCTTTTATGATTGCCTGGCTATTTGCGCACTTTTACCGCCAAAGGGGCTGGTGAGGAGGGGGCGGGCTAAACTCAAACAACAGGTGAAAATGAAATCGAAATTGTGTTGAGCTGCTTTCAATCGATTTGTGAGTTACAGCCCGAACAAAAGGCGGACACACACACACACAGACAGTAGCCGGCAGCTGTGTGCATGCCATAGATACAATGAGACAAAAAGATACAAAATGCAGATACAGAGATACAGATACAGTTGGCTACTTCCACTGGCCGCTTGAATTCAAGCGCAAAAATGCGGTCAGAATCGCGCGCAGAACTGTAAATTGTAAAAAAAAAAAAAAAAAAAAAAAAACG